CTTATTGCACAGCCTGCAGTAGAATTTGAGGGAGGCGGGACTTGCATGAACCGGCGGTTAAGCAAGTTAAAACACACATCTCCAAGTAAGATTGGAAAACACTGGCCAGCCACAGGAAATCCATCAGTTCCTCTGAAGGGAGAGTGTAACAAGTGTCGGTTGTTAAGCATGGAAAATAAACCAGTGAAGTGAGTGACGTCACCTCAGAGTTATGAATTGAGGACTAAGAGATGGGCGGGACTTGGTATACACACACACACACACACACACAGAGTGTCTCCAAGGGGAAGGGAAAAAAAAATCTCCCAGCCCTCCTCAAGCCTTAAGTGGCTTTCCTCCCACCAATGGCTGGCCACGGCCTTGGCTCTATTCAGGCTATCCAACGGAAACCTGTGCTCCTTCCAGTCTTTCTGCAGCAGGGCTTCTGAAGGCGGACCATCTGCACCAGGACCACCTGGGGCAGCCGCCCAGCAGGGCCGGCTCCAAAAGGGCATTCTGTAAAAAAATAAAAAGTCACAGGAACGCAGGCGCCTGCCATTTGAGAGCCAGAGGCCTTGCCCGGAGCGCATCCTCAAAGCTCCAGCCTTGGCCCGGCGTCCTCGCGGCGTCCTGCGCTGTGCCAGCGCTTGGCAAGTACGGAAGCCAGCAATAACTGCTGGATTCTAAGGCACCATCCGGATCACCTACTGACCCCTCATTCCATAACTCCAGAGTTCGGGATTCAGGAACAACGCTCTGTCGCGCGGCCTCCCCAGCCAGCCAGCAGAGTCCCACCGCCCCTTGCCTGCCACCCTCCCACCTTCTCCCAATCTCCTCCGGGACGACCAAGCCCCGCCAGCAGGAACACTTCTGCTGGACCCTCCTCCAACCCTTCAGGCACTCACAGGCCGCCGGGCCGGGGCCCGCTCGTCTGCCTTCCATGTTCCTCCTTCGTCCAGGTTTGAATCTCCCGCCGCTGGGCCACCGCCCCTCTCCGTTGCCACAGTCCAACAGGACACTTCCGGTCCGCTGAGCGGGGGAACTCTGGGATTTGTAGTTCGAGAGCGCCACCCAGGTGCGCCGAGAAGTCAAGGCGGTGCTATGCCAGGACTACCACGGTTTGTTTTTCCTGCAGGGCACCTTGGCGGTTAAACCTTCTCATTGAAGTCAACAAGCCCTTTCCCGTTCCTCCGTCCTTCCCCGCCTCCATACTCAATGTTAGCCCCTGCTCCACCTCTGGGGTCCCACTAACTCCTGGGCCCACTGGAAACAATGCCTTAAAAAGGGGCGCAGGAGCAAAAGGAACAGAAGCACAGTTCATGTTCTAAAGGAATTTGCTGTTCCCACCGTAGTGGGATCAATTACAGGGAGGGGAGCGGTGGCCATGACGTCATTAAGAGTAATGAAGGTAGGGCCCGGCGCGGTGGCGCAAGTGGTTAAAGGCCTTGCACGCCTAGGATCCCATACGGGCGCCGGTTCTAATCCCAGCAGCCCCCGCTTCCCTTCCAGCTCCCTGCCTGTGGCCCGGGAAAGCAGTCGAGGACGGCCCAAAGCTTTGGGACCCTGCACCTGCGTGGGAGACCCGGAAGAGGCTCCTGGCTTCGGATCGGCATAGTTGTGCTCAGTTGCGCATAGTTGCGCTCACTCCTGAAAATCAATAAATAAATCTTAAAAAAAAAAAAAAAGGAAAAAAAGAAAGATAGATGGGGGGCTGGCATGGTTGCTCAATGGCTAAATCCTCACCTTGCAAGAGCCAGAATCACATATGGGCACCGGTTCATGTCCCAACTGTTCTACTTCCCATCCAGCTCCCTGTTTATGGCCTGGGAAAGCAGCAGAAGATGGCCCAAGACCTTGGGAACCTGCATCTGTGTGGAAGACCCAGAAGAAGCTCCTGTCTTCTGGCTTCTACCTAACTTGGCTCTGGCTGTCGTTGCCATTTGGGAAGTGAACCTAAATAATAGAAGACTCTGTCTGTCTCTTCTCCTCTCCTTGTTACTCTGCCTTTCAAATAAATAAAAAGTATATTTTTAAAAGATGTATTTATTTTCATTTGAAAGGCAGATTTACAGAGAGAAGGAGAGACAGAGAGATCTTCCATTTACTGGTTCACTCCCAAATGTCCACAACGGTCAGAACTGAGCCAATCCAAAGACAGGAACCAGGAGCTTCCTCTGAATTTCCCACACAGATGTGGGATCCCAAGGACTTGGGCTAATCTTCATTACTTTTCCAGGCCATAAGCAGGGAGCTGGATGGGAAGTTGAACAACTGGGACATGAATCGGCACCTGTATGAGATGCTGGTACTTAAAGGTGGAGGATTAGCCTGGGGCCACAGGATGGCTCCTAAAAAGTAAATCTGAAAGTGAAAAAAAAGTTATTGGAGTTAACACAGTGATATAATAATAGGCTAAATCTTACCTGCATGTGCCAGTTCTAGTCCTGGCTGCTCCACTTCCCATCCAGCTTCCTGCTAATGGTCTGGGAAGGCAGCCATAGATGGCCCAAGTGCTTGGGACCCTGCACCCACATGGGAGATCGGGAGGAAGCACCAGGTTCCTGACTTCATATCAGCTCAATTCTGGCCATTGCAGCCATTTGGGGAGTGGACCAACAAACAGACAATTATCTCTGTGTGATACGTGGGTGTGGGTGTGAAACTCTGTCTTTCGAATAAAAACAAATCTTTTCTGGAAAAAAAGAAATGATTGTCATATTTCACTGGGCTAATATCAGGGGTGTGGAAGAGTTCTGGGAAGAGTAGGTAAAGGGAACCCCAACATTTAGGAGGCACTCAGAGGATCTGGCAGGAGGGGCCAGAGACTTGTCTGAGAAGGAAAGGGGCCATCAGGATGCAGGGTGTTAGGAAAACCATTGAAGATGGAGTGGCCAAGAAGCGATGGCTGGGGCAGGGGCTCAGAAGTGATCACTGGGTCTCCGGCAGGTCCATGGGATCTTGGCAGGAGTAGTCACAGTCCCTAACCCCTGCCCCAATCAGTCTGTCTCCTCAAAAGAAGTCTGCTGAGAGAAGGAGCAAGTGGACCAGGCTGTGGTGACATCCTGAAGGTCCAGGCCACAGGTGGAAGCTGCAGGCAGCCTCTGGCACAGGCACCTAGGCACAGTGTGTGACAAGCTGCTTGCTGTGTGGTGGCATACAACAAAGGCTTCAGGGCAGGGACGGGGAGCCCAGCCCCTTCCTGATGACTTTGCTTCTGGAAGGCCACCTTGGGTAAACTAGGGCATTAGGTGCCAATTGTCCTGGCCTATCCTTAAGCCGGATCTGGAATCTGTGGAGATGGGAGACCAGACCCTTCCTGACCTTCAACCTTTTACTCTAATGCCAAATGTGAAAACGCCCCCACAGAAGCATAGCATGTGTGTGTACTCACATGAATGCATGTGTGCGTACGAGAGAGAGAAGCGGGGATCACTTCCAGGATAGCCCAGAATACAATGAAGCAAGCCACCGTGGTGTAGCAGAAGCCATTGATGTGGAGAGCGGAGCTGCGCCTCAAAGATGGCGCTTGTTGACCATTGCTTCGTGGCACAAAGGTGGTAAACAGGTTTTGGGAAGTTACTGAGGATTGGGCCGAGCACGCAGGGAAGCTACGTGACCTAAGTCATGATTGGTGTGCTTACCACATGATGTGAGGAACTGTGTATGGATTGGTTTGAGTAATGTAAAAAGGTCTGGGTGAAAAATAGTTAATGAGGAGATTCTCCCAGGCATGCTTCAAGGCTAGGCTAGAGCTAGAGCTATCGCTATCACTTCAAGGCTATTGCTAGCTAGCACTAGGCTGCTTTTGCTTTACTGTAATAAATCTTACAAGTGCTGTAACTGCTTTCACTTTGCCACAATGCTTGAAGTCTTACCCAATAAACTTTTTTAAGAATCTTTACCGTATCGGGGTCTTGCTCGCGGGACGAGGGACCCCGATACATTGATTGTGAACCGGGGTTCAACCGCAGCCATGTGATCATTCTGTGACCTGAACCCCATGTCCCCTATTCTGTGCATGGAGGGGGTGGGACAGACCAGTGACATCCATAACTCCCCCACAGTGCTCTGGCTCCTTCCCAGAAGTGAAGGGTGGGAGGGGTGTGTGTGCAGGGGTGGGGAAAGGGTGGCAGGTCATAAAGCAACTCACCTGTCCCTGTCCAGCCCTAAGACAGGACACCTGAGCTATCACTCACAGCATTCCCTAGCAACAGAAGGCAGTCCCCTTATTGTCAGGTAACCCCAGGGGCTCTGAGCTGAGAGGAAAAGTAACCCAAGCCAGAGGCTCCATTCCAGAAAGTCAGCGCAGAGAAGGAAGGAGGTGAGACATCCCCCAAACCTGAGCCGTCTGGTGGTCAGAGGGCTGGGAGTGTGTGAGGGCCTGAAAAAGCAGGATTTCTTGGTGTTCTTGGAACCTCACAGAACACATCCCTTCTGTCCATCTCCCCTAAGAAAAGAGGAGAGAAAGAAAGGGGAGGAGCGGAGATCTTTCCCATCCTGGGCTTGGGACTTGTGGGCTTTCTCTTCCTTTTCCTGCCTCTGGGGAGGGGAGCTAGTGAGAAGGGTTGCTTTCCAGGGGGAGGATGCTGACAAGATGCACCTGCTGACACCAAGATTGGATTCAGACTGGAGAGGACCCTGAAGACCAGGGCAGGATGTCATGGTGGGGGCAATGATGGTGTGGACCGGAATAAGGACCTTCAGAGAGAGAATGGAATGGAAAGTTCTGGAGGTGGATGGTGGTGACCAGTGTGCAGTAGTAAGAATGTACTTCTTGCAACGCAGCAGTTAACGTGGGGGTAGGTATCTGACACAGTGGTTAAGATGACGCTCTGCGTCCAGTATCGGAGGAGTGCCTGTGTTAATAAATGTTTAAATTTTATTTGAAAAGGAAAGAAAGACAAAAAAGAAGGCTCCGTGGGGGCAGAGACAGAGGTGGTGCTGAACTGCTCTCTGGGAAAGCTGCTCTGGGGCTGCCAGAGCTACAGACCTAGACGCCTGCTCCCCCTTTTACCAGCGGCATGTCGTCTCCTACACCTGAGGACACCCCACTCCAGGAGCCTGAGCTTGGACACTCTAGCTGCAAGCAGCAGCAGCAGGAGAAAAGGCCACAGCAAGAGGCCAGCATCCGGGCCCTCACTAGAGCTGGTCACAGGGCCCTGCGGGCTGGCCAGGGTCACAAGGCCCTGAGCAGCTTCCAGAAGGCCTTTGTGCTAGCCTCTGAGGCCTCCTCACAGGGGGACAGCCCTGTGCTTCGGGCTTGTGCCTTCAACTTGGGGGCTGCCTATGTGGAAACTGGGGATCCAGCCCAAGGCCTGGAGCTGCTCCTGCGTGCCCAGCCGGAGGAGGAGGCACAGGGCAGTCACCATGGAGACCAGTGTTTCAATGTGGCTGTGGCCTACCACACCCTGGGCCAGCTGCCTCAAGCTTTGGCCTGGTACCACAGGGCCCTGGGCCATTACCAGCCTCAGGGAGACAGGGGACAGGCTCAGGCAAAAATGGGAGCCTGCTATCAGGCTCTAGGACAGCCTGAGCAGGCCGCCCAGTGCCTGCAGGAAGCAAGCCGGGCCTACTCCCGAGCTGGGCAGCCCCGGGCTGCAGCCATGGCACTGGGGGCTGCGGCAGAGTGCATGCTCAAGAGTGGGCAACATGGAGTGGGCGAGGTAGTGCAGGTGCTAGAGGAGAGCCGGAGGCTTGCAGACAGGAGCGCTGAGCCGCAACTGCTGGGTAAGGCTTGGGCTGAGGAGGGAGGCAGGGAGCCTGTGGGGCCTGGGACAGGGGAAGAGGGCTAGGGGCTGTGGCATCTGTCCCCCTCCCCAGCCTCAGTGACCCCTGGTGTGTCCTCCAGGTCAGCTCTATAACGACCTCGGCCTGGGCTACTCCAAACTCCAGCTGTTCCCTCTGGCCGTGGAGGCCTTCCAGCAGGCACTGGCCCTGTGCCAGGGGTCCTGGGAGCGGGCCACGGTGTTGGGAAACCTTGGGATGGCCCACAGTGCCCTTGGTAACCATTGGGAAGCCCGGGAGTTCCATCACAGAGCTGCCAGCCTACATGGTAGGTGCCAGGGGCTGGAAGCAGGGACTCAAGGGGAGGCTCCATTCTTTCCAAGGGACCCCAAGGCTTGGAGGCTTTGGGGGCCAGGGACAGCCAGACCGAATGGACAGCTGCAGGTCTGAGGCTGGGCCCTGGGTGGCAAAGGAACCATGGGCAGAAAGAGCCAGAAGGGTATGGGAGGGAGGCCTGAAGTGGGGTGCAGCTTCCCTCTGGCCAGTCCGAGCTTTAGCTGCTGCACCTTGCCTAGCTGCAAGCTAGCTGGTTAGGGAAGACATTTCATACACACGACCACCACCCCCACACGCAGGAGGGGTTGGCCTCTGTGCTGCCCCAGAGGTGCACTAGTAGGCATGGGAGCCTGGCCCCGCCACCATGATTGCCCAAGCCTCCAGCTCAGGACGAAGTGGGCTGTGTCCTCAGGCTCTGCAGGGCGGCGGTGGGAGCAGGGTCGGAGTTTCGGCAGCCTGGCCTTTGCGCTGAGCCAGCTGGGAGACCACGAGGCCGCCAGGGACAACTACCTGCACGCCCTGCAGGCAGCCCGAGACACAGGTGCAGGACGGGAATCTGCGAGCGGTGGGCGGTAGGAAACCTGGGGGGCCTGGGGGGCCTGGGGCAGGGCACAGGGGGCGGCTCCATGCGGTAGGGAGAAGCCCTTTCAGACTGCCTTTCCCCAGGAGACACAAAAGGACAGTGGCAGGCCTGTGAAGGGCTGGGGGCCGCGGCAGCCAGACTGGGGCAATATGAGCACGCTTTGGCATACTACAAGGCAGCGCTGGGCTGCTGTCAGGTGAGACCCTCTGTATCCGCTCCCCACCCCCGCACCCTTCATCTGCTCCCAACCGTCCCCCTTCTCTCCTGCACAGTATGGTGTCAAAGCCCGGGAATGGATTAGGAGATGACGGGGGAACCAAGCCCCCTTGTCATGTTCGTTGCTTTCGCCAAGGCCATGCCTGCCTCTTGACCAGGATTGCCCCACGCCCCTCAGGAGGAGTCGGATTCTGTGCGGGACCGGCTGGTGGCCAAGCTGGCAGACGCCATGAGGACCCACTTGGTGCAGGTGGGGGACTGTTCTGGACTCTTAGCCCTGGGGAAATGACACCTGAAACCGAGAGCGGCGGGAGTGGGGGGGGGGCCCCACGAGGGAGAGCCAGTGTTCTCAGGGTTGCTCCGCTTGGCTGCTCAGGTGTGTGCTCGTCGGCCCCGGGCTTGAGTGTGTGGGATGCATGCCACGTGCCCTGCAGGGTGAGGGGGAGGTGAGCGGAGGTGGCCCGCCGCCGAAACCGACACCAGGGCGGCCAGTGGCCATGGCTGACTGGTAAGCAGCCTATCGGGTGAGGTCAGCGGCGCGAGCCAGATCGGGCGGGAGAGGGGTGAAAGTCCTTGGCTGCAGTTCCGTCAAAGACCACAGGATGGAGATAGTGTTCCAGAAAAGTTCCTCTCTCCCCTGGCCAGGTCTCTGTGAGGTCTTTGCCCAGAGGCTTAGGTCTCTCTACCTTCCCCTTCCTCTATATCTCCTCTCTCCAGAAAGTCGTCCTGCTTCCTCCAGCTGCCTCCTCCCACTCTGAGCTCCTTCTGGAAACTTCCACCCACCCAGAAATTCAAATCATGCATTAATTTTTAAAAGATTATTTAATTGTTAAAGATTTATTTGTTTTATGGGAAAGGAAGATTTACAGAAAGAAAGACAAAGATTTTCTGTCTGCTAGTCCACTCCCCAAGTGGCTGCAATGGCTGGAGCTGAGCTGATCTGAAGCCAGAAGCCAGGAGCTTCTTTTAGGTTTCCCATGCGGATGCAGGATCCCAAGGCTTTGGACCATTGCAACTGCTTTCCCAGGCCACAAGCAGGGAGCTGGTGTGAAGCAGGGCCACTGGGACAGGAACTGGTGCCCATATGGGATCCTGGCATGCAAGATGAGGATTTAGCCACTAAGCCATCACACCAGATCCACATTAATTTTTTTTAATTAAAAAATACTTATTTATTTGAATGTTTGAGTGACCACACACACGCAAGACAAGGTTCTTCTATTCACTTGTTCACTTGCCAAATAGTTACAATGGCGAGGTCTGGACCAGGAGGAAGCCATCTGGGTCTCCCGCGTTGGGGCAGGGGTCCAAGCACCCGGGCCCTCTTCTGCTGCCTTCTCAAGTGCATTAGCAGGAAGCTGTATCAGAAGTGGAGCAGGAATAACTGAACCTCGAACTGGTACTCATATGGGATGTTGGTGTTCAGAGGCAACCCAACCCGCTGTGCTGCCACACGGCCCCTCTAATATTTATTACATGAACTTCACAGATCTTATATCTGAAGACTAGACCACCACATTCATAACCTGCATACAGAATTAAATTAGCCAGAAGCTTGGGTACTCTCTGTGGGGTCTGTCCTAATTTCCCGTGAGCTCTGTGACAAGCCCTGGTGAGGGTGGTCAGAATCTGAGGGGGTGGGGCGCGTAAAGCCCTAGGAGGGAGAATCAGGCCCCGTGGGTGGGCAGGCTGGCCAGGTGTGATCATGCTAACTGGAGACCTCTGAGTGGCCTCTGCCCAGAGCGTGGAGCATGGAATGTGATTCTGAGCCACACACACACACACCCTGGCTTGTCTCCCCGAAGCCTCCATCTATCAGGGACAGCCACTGTGTGCTTTTCTCAAAATCATCTCCCTGGTTCCCCTTCATTCCAGAGAAGGTCCCAGGCTCCAGGCAGGGCCAGAAGCCATGCCGCAGGTTCCCAGCCCAGGTGAGTAAGACAGGGGTGGAGCGCTGGGCCAGGGGCGAGGCTCCAGGGAAAGCGGGTTTGGACACAGTCAGCCACAGCTTTGGGGGCCTCATGAGAACCCAAGAGGAGAAGGCAGGGGGCAGCAGTGTGCATATGCCCTGCCTACACCCAGCTTCCTACTCCTGCAGATCTCTCGGCAAGTGGCAAGATGAAGAGGATGAGGAAGGACACCAGGAGGACCAGGAGGGGCTGATGTGTCAACCCAGGTCACTGGGACCTGGGAGACTGCAGCGTGAGTCCAGGCAGGCTGTCCTCCTGGCTGCACCTCTCCCCACCCCTCCAGTTCTCAGTTCCCTCCTCACCATCCCACAGCAGGTGGCAGGGGCACTGGTTTGGCACTACCCTGACTTCCCTTTTGCGTTCATGGTCATGAAGCTTCCACAGCAGAAGCAGCACTGCTGGTCACTGGTGGTGTTGACTTGGCCTTGCTGGTGCTGTCTCTGCAGCACAGGAGCCCTCCTCCCCACTCCTCGCCCCGCAACCCCAGCCAGCTTCGAGCAGCCCATGTTTGACTGCAGCTTTGGGTGCCCTTTTCTGGGTGCACAGCAACCAGTGCATCCTTTGACAACCCCTGACTCCTTCCCACCGTGGTGGTCCTTGGTGCGAAGTAGCCTGCAATGAATGTGTCTGTTCCCATCCCTGCAGGCCCAGGACAGGGGGCCCATCTTCCCCCAAGAGTGGAGCATCCTGGCACCCTGACACCTGGCGGTCTTGAAGGCAACAGGTGTGTCCTGGGTGGGGATGGGGGACAAGAGGAAGAGGCCTGTAGGACAGCACAGGGAGTGGCCAAGGAGGCTGGAAATGATTTGGGGGGAACCCGACCTCTGCTCAGGCTGACAAAAGAAGTGAATGGGCTTGGGATACAGGATTCCAAGTGTTTGGTTTTTGCCCTTCAGCAACTTGAACAACCCTCATCCAACTCTGGTGACCCGGGGCATCCCCTGCTCCCTGCATGGCCACAGAGCAACAGAGAACCCTGCGGAACATGGGAAAGTGAAGCTGACCTGCTTACCTGCTTACCTCCAGGGGTAAGGGCCAGGCCCAGGGGAACCAGATAGAGTGCAGGTGGTTATCTGTTCCTTTCCCAGGCCCCCACATTCCATGGCAAATCTCTCTGTTTGGCTCCTACAGGTCATCCAGGTGGCCCCAGGAAACCTTCAGCAGGAACCCCAGAAGGAGAGCCCCCCGGTCTGGCTTCTGCACAGTCACATGACCTGCACTGCACTGTCCGCAATCTTCACCTCTGCAGCACGTCCCCTTACCCCACTTCCTGGCTTGTGGGGATGGAGCCCTGCATGGCACAGTCATTCCAGCCTGCAGGGACCCGGACGTGCTGTGGCCCTCTGGAGAAACACCAGGCAGTTCTCCATGCTCCTTGGTGGGCTTTTCAGACTCAGACTTATGCTTGGAAGGCCTGGACCAACTTTCTGGCTCCTGGCTTGTTCAGCCCAGTCCTGGCTGTTGTGACCATTTGGGCAGTGAACCAGCTGACAGAAGTCCTCTCTTCCCCTCCATCACTCTGCCTTTCAAATAAATCTTCAGAGACCCTTGGCCACGCCTCCCCCTGCTGTGAGCATGGGCAGGCCAGTGGTCTTTCCAGGGGTGAGCCTTGGGGCCAGTATGCTCAGGAAGACTGCAGGTCCTGTTTCCCAGGGCCCTCTGAGGATACCCCTCTTCCTCACAATGTCCCAACACCTAAGCCTGGACCATGTGCTCATCAGCAGGAGCTATGACCCACTAGGGGAGTTTCCTAGGTTCCCCCTGCTCAGGCCACACTGACCCAGATCTCACACATGCCAGCAGGTGCTTGTCCCTTACCCAAGACAGCCTGCCCCATTCATCTTGGTCTTTATATGAGCTGGTGTGACCCAGACTACCCCACACCCTGTTTTAGGGTGCTCACACTGGCATACATGTGTAAGTCAGTTCTGGGGTTGAGCCAGGCTTGGCCAGTTCATAGCACTCAATGGCAGATGAGAAAACCAAAATGATGTGCAGGACAGGCTAGACTGGGCTGGAGGAGGTGGGGCTCCCACTCAGCGCTCTCCCCGTTTTAGTGTTTTAGTCTTCTCTTTGTTTTGAAAGAAGCCCCACCCCCATTTTCTTTTTAATGATTTCTTCAGTTGATGTGTCTGACCTGTGGTCAATCACTTGTACACACTGTCAGTGCTGAAGGCTGTTTCCTTTTGTCAAGTGGAGGGAGCTCGTTGGCTTTGGGTTCTTGTGGGGACTCCGGGAACAGACTGGGGAAGGGCTGGGGCCCAGGCCTAGGGACCGGGGGTTGCAGCCCAGTCTCACGATTCCACTTTAATGTGATCCTTGATAACACTAGCTAACAATATACATTCCTCATCAATAAAAGAGAAAATACAGGGCCCAGCACAACAACTCAATGCCTAAATCCTCACCTTGCCTGGTATCCCATATGGGTACTGGTTCATGTCCTGGCCGCTACACTTGCCATCCAGCTCCCTGCCTGTGGCCTGGGAAGGCAGAGAGGAGGCTGATCCAAAGCCGTGGGACCCTGCACTTGCATAGGAGACCCAAAAGAAGCTTTTGGCTTCGGACTGACTCGGCTCCGGCCATTGCAGCCATCTGGGGAGTGAAGTAGCAGATGGAAGATCTCTTTCTCTACCTCTCCTTCTCTCCACAAATCTGCCTTTATAATAAAAATAAATCTTTTTAAAGTGTAACACATTAAATTTTTTAAAAAATAAAGTTTGATACACACTCCTATACACGCCAAGCCTTGTCTTGGGCTGCCACATAAGTTAATTTTTTTTTTTTATAGATTCATTTTTTTTTTAAGATTTATTTATTTTTATTGGAAAGGCAGATATACAGAGCAGAGGAGAGACAGAGAGTAAGATCTTCCATCTGTCCGATGATTCACTCCCCAAGTGGCCGCAGCGACTGCAGTTGAGCCAATCCGAAGCCAGGAGCCCAGAGCTTCCTCCTGGTCTCCCCCGCGGGTGCAGGGTCCCAAAGCCTTGGGCTGTCCTCGACTGCATTCCCAGGCCATAGGCAGGGAGCTGGATGGGAAGTGGGACCACTGGGATTAGAACCAGCACCCATATGGGATCTAGCGTGTTCAAGGCAAGGACTTTAACCGCTATGCTATTGCACCGGACCTGATAGGTTTTTTATTTGAAAGTCAGAGTTACAGACAGGGAAGGAGGAAGAGAGAAAGAGAAAAAGGAAATTCCCCATTCATTGGTTTACTTCCAAGATGGTCATCACAGCCTGAGCTGGGCCAGTCGCAAGCCAGGAGCTCCTTCCAGATCTCCCACATGGGTGCAGAACCCAAGACCCTCTTCCACTGTTCTCCCAGACATATTATCAGGGAGCTGGATGTGAAGTGGAGCAGTTGGATTAGTTGAACAGTACCCAAATGGGATGCCAGTACTGCAAGTAGCTGTTTAACCCACTATATCATGCCTCCAGCCCTGAAATTAATTTTCCCACAGCTCTGGAGGCTGAAAGTTTGAAATCGGGGTAGCAGCTGAGCCCTTGCGACCTATCCACCCTAATCCCTCCCCGAGACCCAGAGCCAAACACCACCCATCGTTGAGGGTCAGGAGTTCAATACAGAACTGGGAAGGACAACTTTCAGCCTGATCCTAGTGCCCTGATAGCAGTGGGTTTGGTATTCCCTAAGCTTTTCCCATAACCATGTGCTGCACTGTCAAAAAATACTTGGCGCAAAATCTATTTTTCTCTAGGTTTCTGGAGCCCATGGCATCAACTAAAGTTTTTTTTAGCAGTTCATCCAACCTATTTAAGGTTTATAAATTTTCTATTCCCATAGAATCTGAGAGAAAGTTCTTTTACTAGTTAATTCACTCTCCAACAGCCACGGCTGGGCCAGGATGAAGACAGTGAACTAACTCCATCCGTGTTCCCTTCTGGGCATCACGCGCTGCTCCCAGGGTGTGCCCCTGCAGGAAGCTGCGGTTGGCAACGCTGGAGTCCCAGGTGGTGACTTAGCCGCTCCTGCAAACGCTGACCCCCAAGGGTCTTTTGTAAATATAATAGGGGAGTAAAGTGTGATATTCTGGTAAAAACAGAGAGCTGGTTAAATTAGCTAACACATGAGCCTTTAATTCTACAAAAACGTGTAGGAGCGCAATAAGAACATTAGTTTGATGGATGCGTCAGGTACCAGGTATTTGCCACGGTACCTGGTACTGTGGGGTACCTGCTGCCCTGCTCCAGCACGAGTGAGCTCTCCATCATCCTCGTTCGCCCGGAGGAGCGACCACCAAGAGGGCCCAGGTGCCCTCGGCCGGGACCCAGTCGGGGTGCGGACCTTCCGCTGCGCTGCAGAGCCGCGATCGCTCAACAACACCAAAGGGCGACGGGGAGCAGGACACTCGGTCACATTGCGTACCCGTAAAACGCCTGCTGACCGGGCTGCTGAAGAGCGCGCGCACAGGCGCGGGACAGGCAGACCCACTTCCGCCCGGGCGCGCCTGTGTCCCCTCCCCGGGGCGGGGCGAGCGCCGCGCAGGCGCAGAGGCCGGGTCAGCGCTCGGGGTCCGCGGCGCGCGGGGCGGGCTGCATGTCCGGGCTGCGGGCGCTGCTGGGACTCGGGCTGCTGGTGGCGGGCTCGCGCCTGCCGCGGCTCCCGAAGCAGGCCGCCGGCGTCTGTCGCCCGGGACTCACGTGGTGGAGGCCGCAGCCGCTGGACCCGGCGGGCCGCAGGCACTCGGAGGTCATGGCGAGCACCGCGGTGAAGTACCTGAGGTAGGCGGGGTCCCGGGGGTTGACATGTCGGTCCCCGCGGCGCTGCTGGCGCGACCGAGCGCCCGGGGACGGGGACTCAGGCCGAGTGTTTTCCTCAGCCAGGAGGAGGCCCAGGCCGTAGACCAGGAGCTGTTTAATGAGTACCAGTTCAGCGTCGATCAACTTATGGAGCTGGCTGGTCTGAGCTGTGCTACGGCCATTGCCAAGGTCAGTGGTCTACTCTCGACCTTTGAGGGCAGCGGCTCGCTGGCCAAGCCCCTCTGGTTTGGGCGCGGAGGGGTGTGGAAGAGACCACACAGGTCCCTGCGACAGCCCCCTTTGACTCTGCCTTCAGGCATATCCCCCCACATCCATGTCCAGGAGCCCCCCTAACGTCCTGGTCATCTGTGGCCCTGGGAATAACGGAGGCGATGGTCTGGTCTGTGCTCGGCACCTCAAACTCTTTGTAAGTATGAGAAGCCATGGCGGGGATGGAGTGGGCATGGGATTGCAGTGTCTGGCTTGAATTACCACACTGCTTTCTTCCTAGGGCTACCAGCCAACCATTTATTACCCCAAAAGGCCCAACAAGCCACTCTTCACCGCATTGGTCACCCAGTGTCAGAAAATGGACATTCCTTTCCTTGGGGAAATGCCCTCTGAGGTAGGTGGCTCCCACTCATCCCGCAATAATCCCTGCTGGGGGCTGTTTTTCCCTTGCGTTTCCAGGCAGGGGTCACGTGGTGCCTGGCATGGAAGAGGGACCAGGAGTTGTGCTGACTCCCAGACACCTCCCATCCCCCCCTCCTCTTCCCTGCGCAAACACTTAAGCTCCCCATCTCTAGGGCCGGAGTGACTGCCTCGTCTGAATCCTGTTCTGCAAGCGCTAGGATGTAGGGATAGGACGCAGGAGTTACAGATGAAGAGACTGAGGTGCAGCTGATTGGTTTGCACACAGAATGGCTTCATGGTTGGGCTGGGATCAGCGTGAGGCCCTCCTGACTCTGCGCCTCAGGGCTCCCACACTGGCTCGCAATGGCTGGCGCACAGCCTGCTCCATTTGGCCTGTCCCCAGGGACAGCGTCCCTATCAGTGGGTGTAGCAGGGAAGCCCTTCTCAGCTACTGGTCTGCCATCCTTTCCTTTTCCTGCCCCGCTGTAGCCCATGATGATCGATGAGCTCTATGACCTGGTGGTGGATGCCATCTTCGGCTTCAGCTTCAAGGGGGAGGTCCGGGAGCCGTTTCGCAGCATCCTAAGCATCCTGGATGGACTCACCGTGCCCATTGCCAGCATCGACATCCCGTCAGGTGCTGGGCAGGGCCCAGAGGGTGGGGTCTGGGGTAGGGGTAGGAATCGGGGCCCTACCCCAGATCATCAGGGTGGTCCCTGGCAGGTGCAGGCCTGAGTCCTAGCTCAGAATGGGTCTAAAGTGACTTAACTTAGAGGGGCTGGAAGCAGAGTTTAGGAGCCCCCAGTTCCATGTTGGGCCCATAGAGAACCTGAAGGAGCCCCTAGGATGGCAAGCCCTCTGCCAGGGGGGAGGGAAGAGGGGACTGGGTGGACGCACTGCAT